AAAAAAAAAAAAAAGAACTAATAAAATAAATAGATAGAAGCATATATATCAAACAATGCATAAAAGTAACATAAAGTGATACGCCGAGGTCGCAGCCCACCAAAGCGCAAAGACACCGCCCGAGCTACACCCATTGGGCACAATTGCATCGCATCGCATCCGCAAAGCAAACCCGTCACACATATATGAGTCGCGACGCGCACATCCCATGCACGCAAAGGAGCAACGGCAATCCACCCCTGCACCACATGCCCACGCACAACAACAAGAGGGGCGCAACAGATTTCCGCCGCAGAATACCAGCACCAGCCCAACGCCACTGTCCCGCAGTCTTACATAGAACCGCGAAACTGCGGCAGTGAATGGCAGCGGCGAACTCCGGCAGCCGCATGGCTCCACTCATGGGCTGGACGAAGAGACGATTCTAATGCGCATGCAGCTTACGAACCTGTGCGAGGAACCTCATTGATCATGGGCGCTTTCTTGTCTTCCGTGAGGATGTTCACTTGAGTGCAGCCAATACTTCTACCTCGTGTATTGGTGCAACCGACTGGCTGGCGCCTACACAGCTCATGTGTCAAATCTTCCAGCTCCAGCCTGGGTACAATGATACTGATCAGCTCCCAGATCTTCTTCCCTCTGGAAGTGGCTGCACACCCGATGGGGCATCACGCCCGCATCAGCAGCAGCAGCGGCGATGTGTGTGAATGCAGCCGCAACGATGCCCTCAAAACCGAGGGGGTGGGGAACAGTCTAAGGAGGTATTTTAATCAAATCGCTCATACCCCAATGCACGATACAGATGCAGCGCTGTTTTTTTTTTTTTTNTTTTTTTTTTTTTTGCCCTTCATAGCGAGTTGTGAACTGCAGCAGGGTTTCGGTTGGCTTTGTCATCAAAGGAGTGCCTCGTAGATAGTAAAACACCACGTTCACAACGCATGAACACAATTGAATATGTACAATAACAGTATTCCTCCCAGCGCTCCTGCCTCCACATCATCCAGAAGGCCAGAAACATGCGCTGCGATTCGAAGAAGACGAAAGGCGGCACGTTGCCACCATACAAAGCTGGACAAGACAGCGAAACACGAACATACCAGCGTCTGGTATTTGTGATGATCTAAGAGTGAGCATATACCTCTGCGCGCTTCATACAGTGTGTCGGAACTACGCCGTTACCTCCCGTAATGCGTTGCCGCCCTCACATTTACATCCGCGTAGTCACAAAACAATTTGACGTAACGGTGTGCTGGTGGTGAAGAGGCAGTGACGTGGCGCACTGTGTGGAGCCAACATTCCTTCCTGTGCGCCCTGGAGAAGTGATAGGTCAATGGTGGAAAGGTAGAGAACGTGCCAGGGTGAAAGTACTTCATCTGTCACCATCACTCGAATTTCAATCCACTGCTTCCTTTGTATCCCTTCTTTCTTTCTTTTTTTTTTTTGTTGGAAGTCTCTCTTTTTTTCTTCTTCTTTCCCCCCCTTTTTTCTGCTTCCTTACCGCTTGTGATGTTACTCGTTTATCGGTTGGGGCACAACCATCACCACGGGATCTCCTTGAAATCTTTAAAGAACTTGCCGTACTCCCTGCTGTTTGTGTATATGAGATCCAAGCAGCGCGCGGCGGCGTCAACTTCATCGAGTGGGCAGAGCAGCGACTGCTCCGCCCGCCGCTCCTTCTTCGCCTTGGGCGACTCATCGGTGATCCACCCGGTGTCGACAGAGTTCATGTAAATTCCCTCCTGCGCGTAGTCCTCTCCACTCGTACGCGTCATCATGTTGAGGGCGGCCTTTGCCATGTTTGTGTGTGGGTGCGTCACCTGCTTGAACCGGTAGAATTGCCCTTCCATCGCCGACACGTTGATGATGAAACGCCCCTCGTTGGGTACCGCGTCACCCTCGCGGTTCAACAGACACTTCTTTAGTTTGCTGTTAATGATGAATGGGGAGAGTGCGTTGATGGCCATGACCTCCGCCGCCTCGCTTCCCTGCACCTCCGCCAGCCGCATGACCCATGAATTTGTCTCGCGGTGATCGCTTTCCTCCGCGAGGGTATCGTATCGGTCAAATCCAAGAGCCCGAGTGCCAACAGCGATGGCAGTGGCCGCGGAAGCAGTGATCAGCCCACGCGGTTCTCCCTTTCCATCACTGCCGTCACCGCCTGCGTCGTCGAGGAACGGCTGCTCGTGTGGGTGGTATTCCATGCGGAGAGGCTCCCCAATCGTCACGGAGGAGTGGGAGAGGAAGAACTGGTGCCACTCCCGTGTGGCTGCATCGTCGTAGAGGCGGCAGTGGAGGTCCTGCGGCGGGTGGGCCTCAACATGCCGCACGCGGGCAGTGTACTCCCGTGTACGCGCAATTGTCTGTGCGGCGTTGTTGATAATCGCGAAGAGTTTTGGAAATTGCTGCGTCACGAAGGCGCAGAACTGCGTCACCACCCACATATCACGGAGGTCAAGGGAGAAGAGATGTAGGCGATCCTTCCACTCTGCGTAGTCGGACTCCTGTTGGAAGCGCGCCAACGCTTCATGGGCAAAACGGGTGGTGCCCAACAGTCGTGCGCCGCACCGCAGTAAAGATAGAGCCATCGCAAAGCCAATTTTGATTCGGCACCCGGTGAGTAACACGACTTTGCCACGCAGGTCCCGCGTCAGCAGCCTCTTGTTGAAGTTGTACTCCCCGCAGAGGTGACAGAGACTGTAGTAATACGGATGCAGCTTGTTGTACCGCACCCGGCAGGTGTGGCACCCAAGCCAACGATTCAGCTGCAGCACGTCATCACGCGGGATGGTGTGGCCCGCCGTGTAGAACTGCGCATCATCGAAAACACAGTAGGTGTCGGGCTCCTCGTCTTCTGACACCGGCGGACGGGTCTGCAACACAAAGGGAGACTCACCCCATTCGCGAAACCGACGTCTCGCGTACAATCTTCGGGCAATAAAAAGGTTGAGTGATGCCTCCGCCGAACACACAGGCCCATCATTTGCTTCACAGGAGACAAACCGCGTGTCAGCAATCCCATCCACAAGCACAAGCTCGAGCGTTCGAAGGGCATCTGCCGCTGGTGTGACATGCTGCAGGGCGTGCTTCACCTCAGGCGACGCAGACCTCAGGTCTCCACAACGCCGCAGAAGTGGCACACTCCGCATCGGTGTGGAGTCTGGCACAAACACGTCTTCACTCCCAAGAAGGAATCCGGCGTTAACGCTGCCACCATCTTCCTTGTCTCCGTTGTTGTTGTTGTTGTTATCGTCGTTGTTGTCGACGTCAGGTGCCTCACACGCAATCAACTCGGCACAGCGCTGTGCAATGCGGAGCTTCACCACCGCTGTGAACCTCTCCCGCTCCTTGCGCGTTGTCCCTGCGGGGACGGTGCCGTGCAGCAATGCGGGCGGCAACTGTGAGCCAAAGGCGTGCGGCATGTAGCGGTATACCTGCGCCACGAGCTGAGAAATGGCGAGCCAATTCAAATCCCCGGCGTACGCCTCCTCGAGACGGATGACGTTCTCGAAGGCGCCAATCAACGCAGCGATCTGCCGGTCGCTGGCGGAGAGGCTGCCAGAATCGTCCGCCCCATTTTCGGCGTCTTTTACAGTGGCATCTCCATTGTCGTCCACGCGATCACAGAGGAGCAGTGGCTCCGTGGCGTCTTCTTCTGCTCCCGCTGACGACGAAGGCGGCAGCAGGAGTGCACTGAGCGCTTCCTCCCGCTCACGCTTCATTTCTGTGCGACGGATGGCTTCAATGTCCTGCATGCGCTTGAATCGTTTCCGGCGGCTCTTCTCCTCGTTCATGATTGCCTTGTACACATCGCGGTTCTCACGCTTCGTCTTGCGGTCGCGCGTGATCATGGTGTACAGGCGGCTTTCGTAGAGGTATGAATCGCCGACAAAGAGCGACGGATTGTGGAAGAGAGTGCGGACCACCTTGGTGGCCACCTGCAGCTCGTCAAGGGTGAATCCCCAGCGCGCCTCGTGCTCCGCCAGCGTCATTGTGCTTGGCTTCTCCACGCCAGTGGTCGTGGTCTCTTCTTCCTCCTCCTCCTCCTCGGCACCACGATTCATCTCCCGCCAGTTCTACCGTTACACTAACAAAAGGGAAACCCCAGAGAGAGAGAGAGAAAGTGTCTGTGTGCGAGGGCGTGAACAAAGGAAAAAAGGAAATTGTAATTGACACCTTATCTCAGTCTGTTAACCCAATTCTTTGAGCCAGGCTTCTTTTTGTGTGTTTCATTGGTGTTTCTTCCTTTTTTTTTCGTTTCTCCCCATACTTCCTCTTTCTGGAGTTACTAGATACCATATTACGTCTTTGATTAGGGGAATAAGAGGCGCGAGGGTGCGAGAAAGAGCGTGAGGATAAAAAAGGGGAGCTGCAACAGCGGCTGCCCCCCACCCACCCACCCACCCCGANCTTTTGGCTTATGTGAGACAATGTCAGTCGCTCTAGCATGCAACACATCCTTCGCTGCTTGCCCACCCACAAGGGACATTGCTCCCTGATGCTACTGCGGCTATTCACCCATCAGGGCCGAAAGGTCCATGCCGCCTCCCATGCCCATGTTCTCCATCATCATTTGCTGCATCATTTGGTTTTGTCGCATCTGCTGCATCTGCTTGCGTCGCGCCTCCTCATCCTTCGCGCGGCGCTCAGCAATCTGGGAACGGTAACGCTCAAGGTACCGCTGTACCGCGGCAGTGCACTGCGGCACGCGGGCGAGGAGCTGCACCAACACCTCCGAGCGGTCACGCAGTGTTTTCTCCGAGGCTCGGCACCAAATTTCAAACATGCTAGGGATGATGTCTGTCTTCTCCGCCAGGTTCGTAAAGAATTTCTCACCGTGCTTGCTGTCGAACATGATTAAGACAACAGTGAGGATGGAGTTCGTGATGCGCGGATCGCCGTTCACGCTGAAGTTCTCAGCGAGGCGCTGCAAATTGGCCTCCTCGGCGAGTTCCTCGTGGCCAAGCCCGGCCCGCGCAAGGTAGCGGATGGCGAGGGCGCAGTGCTCGACCACACCCTGGTTGCCGTGCTCCAGCAGGCACAGGAAGTACGACATGCCGCCGCGCCCCTCGATGCCGCGCCCTACCGCCAGCGCGCCGACACGCAGCGTGCACACGTTCGCAAAGATGCCGGTGAGGGCGTTGAGGAACAGAACGGGGCTCTGCGGGTCAAGCACGCGCAGCATCTTCACCGTCGCCGGCATGCCAGCGAGCGCATAGGCTCCCTCCGCGCCCGGCGGCACGTCCGTCTCGAGCACCACCTCCGCGTCGTCCACCTGCGTGAGGACGAAAAGCGCGTGCGCCGTCTCCTCCATGAGCTCCTGCCTGCCCTGCCGGTGGGCCTCGCTCAGTGTTGTGAGTAATGTGCGGTAGCCACCCAGCATCTGCAGTTTGCGGCAGCCGCCGGTGCTGAATACGCGCACCACCGCCTTGAGAGCCGCGCTCACGGTGTCCGCGTTGGCGCCGTCCTTGCTAAGCGCGGCGAGGCGCACCAGCTCGCCACCGTGGCGCAGCGCCGAGAGGCGCAGCACGTCCTTCTTCTGTGCCGCCTCCTCCTTTAGCTTCACGAGAATCGCCTCGATGGCGGTGGCGTTTTCCTCGTTTGTCTTGGCCGCGCGGAGGTTCTTGAATAACGCGTTGAGGGATGAGGCGACGTCGTAGCGCTGGTGGTACAGCGAGAACAGAGACGCGGCGGAGAGGGTCGCTACAGTGCCGTGGAAGAGGAACTTCCACACGGCAGGGTTAATCGGGGATTCCATTTCGGCACACCCGGACTCACTCCTTCACCCACTCTATCCCCGGTTGGCGATATATCACTCTCTTTCTGTGTTGCGTGATGGCACGAGAAGAAAACAAACACAAAACCGAACACCACCAACAAAAGAAGAGCACTACGACATCGACAGGGAGGACAACGACACGGTAAAAGAAAACTAAACACCGGGGTCCAGAACGAAACGAAAATGAGAGCCACACAAGGCGCAGCGTCGCACTTGTCGTACCATATCAACAGATTAATGTGTGTGTGTGTGTGTGTGTGTGCGACAAGTAATGCAATCCATTCAATACCCGCTGCTCAATCAATGCAAAACGAAACAAAAAGAGAAACGGCTGCCTCAATTCACCAGCGTTCACAGAGACCAGAGTACACCTGGTAAAACACAGTTTCTCTTTTGGCCTTCCACGCGACTGCCAGAGACCCATTCCTTAGCACCCCTGGACTAGAGGTATGGCGCCACTGGTCTCTCAGCCGCTCTTTCTTCCTCCGACTTGACCATGCTATTCTGATAGTTCAAATAATCCTCTCTCGCAATGAGAGCCTCGTCCTTTCGGTTAGCCAGATAGTACCGCATGAGCTGTTCCTTGTCAAAGAGCGGCTTTGGCATGATCTTTGAGTTTTCCCGCAGCGACGGTGGCAAGAGACCGGCCTTCGCTAGTAAAGTCCACGGCCGTGTTGACAAACGACACCGCTTCACACCAAACCAGTACTTGAACGCATCTACATCAACTGTTGTGAGCATAAAAAGATGTCTGTCCTGCGCAACGGGCGTGTCAGGTGACCAGAGAGACTTCTGCGGGTGCGGGCAGTGCTTGCCCAGGTAGTGCAACAGTCGAACATCGGAAACATGCCGCTTGTGGGTGTGCTCAACGACGATATCGTACGACTGAAATTTCCACACAACGTGGTGGCCACGCATGCGGATGATCGGGGCACCAGGCGCGCCCCACAGCTGCGGAGTGCGTCGCTTGATAACTGCACGAGCGTGCGACAGCGGAGTGACGCGGAGCATGTGACTAAAATGTGTGCGCGCGGCCGCAAGTGAGATAAACAAAAGAGCGCGGCACTCTCCTAGACAACAACAAGAAAAAAAAATCGGCCAACAACAGACACCAGCTCACACACACAGCAAAGAGAAATAAGTACAGTGACCAAACTTGTGGGAACGTGGGTATATTAGGGCAAAACAAAAAAGGAACAGCAAGAGAAAGTATCTACTCTCCCCCTCCATATGAAGCTCATAGAGTGAGCAGAACGCAGGACTGGAGCACGGCCAAAGAAACAGCCAATATGCCTGTGTGGGCGTGTGTATCATACACGCGCTGAATGATATGATTCCCAAGTAAAAAAAAAAAGAGACCGGTGTTTATGCGTCATGGAGACAAGGAAGGGGACGCACAACGGGGCGTCTCTTGCTCTTGCTCCAGTAATACATGCGATACCGCGTCGCCAAAGAAACACCAAAATTCTTGAACATAACAAACAGCAGTAGCAACAAGAAAAGAAAACGCAAAAAAAAAAAACAAAAAAACATACAAACAGTATGACTCCCACCCTGTAGAGTTCTTCTTTTTCCCCTTTTGGCTTTCATCGCACACGCGCATACACACACCAAAAAAAAAAAAAAAATGGAATAT